CTGCCCTCTCATTCATTGATCTGCTAACCATTATGCTCACGTGTCCTCTGATAATAAGAGCTTTTTAGGATTAAACATTATTTGGATTATTGGTAAAAAAAAAATCTCTTAATAGCCCTACTGTGTGTTAGACCTACCTGAAAAACTAAAACGCAATTTATTTCATTTGTAGGCCATTATTTTTTTATTTGTGGTATCATTAGTAATTTCTTTATTTGTTCTTATTTTATTATTAACTGCTTTTTTATTCAATTCAAAGTTTTAAATCAAGCTATCTCGTGCTACTGCAACAAAATTACCCAACTCTAAAATAAAAAATACACTGATTGAGCAAAACTTTGTTTAATTACCATTATAATTAGCTATCTCACAATGTTTACATATGAATAAAAGCCTACATTAAAATCTGTCATATAAATTGTTCTTTTCATTAGAAATTAGCCTACTGATTGCCACCATTGAGGGACAGATTTTTTTATAATATAAAAAATATCTGTATGACATTATATTCTGCAGTTCTTCCCTGCTGTACCGAATATCTATACTTTTCAAAGTATCATATCGAAGTTAGAAATTAAAATATTGTGACAACATTTATTTTGTAGGGTGCCACAAATTTGGTAACATTTCCAAAGGGTGCCGTGACTAAAGAAAGGTTGGGAAACACTGTAGTATACAATATACTGTATTTTCTAGTAGATTACATGTCAAGGAATGTCCAAGAACTTTCTCTTGACAAACGTTTCTTTTGTAAATTTTTTGCAGTAATGTTAGCCTATAATGCAATATGTGCAAAATGCAACAGTTATTAAATTAGTAAATCTCATCCTTATTCCCCAGAATAATGTTGCTTTGGGACTGCATGCATTTAGGATGTCCAAACATTTAATCATGTACACATTCTTTTTACTTTAGACTTTTTTGTGAAATTACAGTGAAACTGGAACTACTCTTATGTTGTTCTATACATACATTCACCTAGAAGACAAACCTCTACATTGTGTAACTGTGTATAAGACACAAAACTTGAAGGGCATGTAATACATATTGTACATATTACTGAATGTGGACACGGACAAGGTGATTTTGTACACTGAGTCTCAATGACTAACTTCATGCTATCGCTCATTTAAAATACTCCAAATTAATTCAAATTTGAATCAGGTTAAGAACAAATTCATGTGCGTACATACGTGTTGTGAATTAGGCAGAAATGAATTAGTTCTGCTGTGGATATAAACACAAACTATCCAGGTAATTATTAATAAATGAGAGCTAGTGAAGTGATCCTGCCTGTTCTTACCTCTTGCCATGAGGAGGCAGTTTCTGAGGGACGCTTCTCTTCTTGATGAGTTTGTCCACTGTGTTTGAGGGGTGATGTTTGAAGAGACCAGGATATTTCTTATCCAGACACTGTTCCCTCCTTAATCAATAACACAGCAGCATTAGCACTTCACAGTGTTATAAATGAAGGTATCAGGAGCTGATTTGACTGAATATTAATAATCTCTGAGTAACGTGACATGGAATATTGGGAGCACTTTCCATGAATAGGGCACAGAATAGGGCCTAAACATGAGCTCACACAGAAAGAACTGACAGAGACAATGAGAGCTCTGTCTAGATTTATCTTTCTCTGTGGTGGATCATGACTGCTCATAGCTGGTGGAGCAATTCTTCGGCTTTATTCCGATAATAATTTTTTCCCCCTATACTTTTACTTCTGTGAATAGTGCATTATTATTTAAAAAAATGTTTTCTTATATTAGTGTTATATTCTCTTCTCTCTTATCATCTCTTCTGTGTGATTCTATGTATGTCTGCACTATCATGCACTATGTCCATACTTTCTTCTGCACTGGAAGTTCCTGTTGTCAAGTCAAATTATAAAGCTCTTTCTGACTTCTGATAATAAACAAGACTTCATCGTTGCAGTAAATACTAGTGACAAAGTCATGTAGTCTGTGATGGACAGATTATTAACAGCTGGTCTATGTGGTAATTACAGTACATCGGTCAGGACATGCAAATGTACGTTTCGTTCATCGACCTAAAATGTGGCTTATCATCTGAAACATGTAAGTAGTAGCATCATTACATGGCTGCTGGCTTTAACATTAACCTAGAAAAATGTGCGCTATTGAAGTGTTTGTGCGGAGTGTGGAAGCTTAACAGTAGTGCGCTCACTGCATGTGTGATCATTTGCCTTTAACTTAAAATACTCCATCATTTTCGCTCATAGAGAAAAGAGTAATAATATATAATACATATAATAATACAATACATATTTCAAATCTGTAAAAGGTCTACTTTCATTTATGTGCACTCACTGTAACAACAAATGTTGTGCTTTTGTAAAATAATGAACAGGGTGAGCTTTCTGCCGTCTAGTTGAACTTGAACATGTCAAAAAACAAAAAAAAGAAACAAAACTGTGCCTCACAAACATGAAAAATGTCTACTTTTAAATGAACCTAATTTAAATGGAAAACAAATATTTTCAGATTATGTAATCTGTATGAAATTTGCACGTTCACAGTGGAGATGACGAGTGGTTCGAAAAACGCATTATTTTTCACATAATTTACATTACAATAATTTTTAACTCCCCAGCCTCGCACAAACGGCTCAATTAATTCCAGGTTTGATGAACGCCCGCCTTCTGAAAAACAAATGTGATGTGATTGGTTAGCTGTCCCAGTGTGTTGTGATTGGCAAACAAGCTTAGACGGTGTTTCAGTACTGCCACGCCCCTTGCCAAATCAGCAAGTTCCGTCTGCTGTTACTGCTATATAATACTGCTATAGTTAAGGATGCCGTCAATATTACCATATCAATTTGAGCCGGATTCAGACCCAAGAATATTGAACAAGAGGATCGCACAGAACCTTTGCACGCATGGATATTGCAAGACATATTAGAGTGGTGACTAGGGTTGGGCCGATAGACAATGGCATCCCCCCGCAATCCGCCGCATCCCAATACCGCTTTCGGAAAGAAAATGACGTGTATACGGAACCCGAACCTCTAAAGGGAATAAATACGAGATGGGAGGACAATATATATTTCAATACATTCTCTCACAGTTATATCATTGGGTAATTATACTGTAGGCCTATATAAATTGCGGTCATCAGGGAGACGCTATTGTGCCTGGCATTGAAACTGCTTTTGAGTGCACAATCTCTTTTTAGTTTCACTTTCACTTTTGAGATTCGCGATCACACGTACTCTGTTTATACTATGGAGCAGCAGTACTTACCACACATTTTACAAGATTAGATGTTTTGTCAGTGGTGCTCAGTCATCTCTCCTACTTACTATGTTTATGTGGTAAGTGAAATTTTAAGTACTGTAATGTAACAGGCAACCGTTAGCAAACGTTATTTGTTTTCCGTGCCTTTATGAATACGGATTCACGCTTCGGGCACACTCGCTGAAAAATAACTGCGTTTACTATGTACAGATAAGTACATATCTTAGTGCTGCGTTCAACACCATAGATCATGACATACTCATAGATCGATTACAAAACTATACAGGTATTCAAGGGCAGGCTTTAAGATGGTTTAGATCCTACCGGTCCGATCGCTACCTAAGTTGCATTGCACCGATTTGTATCGTAAAAAGCGCTATACAAATAAACTTGAATTTAATAAGTGCAACAGTAATATGTATTATGTTTATTGTTCTTTCATTCTAACATTCTAACATGAATTGCAGTGAAACTGTTATACAGTTGAATTTTTTTATACCATAGTCTCATAATTGGTGTAAATTCTGCAGATTACATCATAGTCCAGTATTGTACTGTCAGCAATTTATAAAAACGTTTTCATAACTGTAACATACATATTTACATACATAATTATTCAGGTGCATGTGTAATAACTGCATTAAAATGCCCAGCGAAGTAGAAAACATCTGCTGCAAGGAAATTCAAAAGGCACAGGGTTTTAAAAAAAAAACAGTGTTTCTTCGACATGGCAAAACTTGAGGCTACAGCAGCACTTCTTCTTCGTCGTCGTCTTGTCTGATGCACTCAACCAAGCATTCTAACCATGACCTCGCCCCTCCCCACCCCCCAACCATTCGAATTTCTGTAGGCGGGAATTATTTTAATGATATTCTAATAGGCCGCTTTGTGACATCACAAAACCCCGGAAAACAATGCTGTAGTCCAAACGAGTTCTTGAAAAGGGATTTTTTAAAAAGAAAATATCTCCCTTTGGAGTGGACTTTGAAATGTGTAACTTTGTAGATCTTTTTTATGCCCAAACATACACACTACACACTGACTAAAGTTCAAAAAGTGAAAAAGCATAATAGGACCTCTTAAGGCAGTCTTTTGTGCTGTTTTTTTCCCTGAAGCATTCATTACCTTTACTTCTACGGTGTGCTGTGTCAAGCTTTATTCGTGCTCTTGAGCGCTGATAGGCTACAGGCAATTAAAGGCTCATTATTATGAATTACATGGTTTATTAATATAAACATGTGATTAGTTGAATAATTGCTTAAAATGAACAACTACTAGTTGACCAGAAAAAATTTCATTTCATTTTTAAACATATAATATTTTTCTAGATATAAAGCAAGTTAGCTACTAAATAGAGCTTGAGTGACCGAACGGATTTGAAGCGTAGCTCAGGCAGACCACTGATTGCTACCCTATTGATTGGTACCAGCTGATCAACTACTCTACCTACACTAGTACAACCGTATTTAAGACCATTCAAACTCTTCAGTCTGCCGCACAGACATCTGCACCCACCTCCACAATACAACTTTGGGTTCTTCTAGTACTTTTATGACTGAATTTCAAGTCACTCCCTTTATTTTGTAATTGTTGTATTTCTGCATGCCTAAAGGATGTATCTTAAAGGGGACATATGATGCGATTTAAATTTTTGCTTTCTCTTTGGAGTGTTACAAGAAGGTGCATAAAGAAGATCTGTAAAGTTGCAAAGACTAAAGTCTCAAATCCAAAGAGATATTCTTTATGAAAGTTAAGAGTTAACCACACCTACTTAAAACGGCTCGTTCTAACACGCCCCCACATATCTACGTCACGATGTGGAAAGATTTGCATAACGCCGCCCAAATGTTCACACAAAGAAAAAAGGCGTAACTTAAATTATTTTTAGCAACGTCATATAACCCCTTTAAACTGTCTTGAATGTTTAAGAGTCAAATTCAAGAATTGCCAATAAATGTATTATTTTCAGAAGTGGTCCTGACTGAATCACTTTTCATTCACATTTTTACTGTGGCTATTTTGTTTTCTGGAAAGCGTGACATTAAACGTACAGTTGACAGATTATCAGACACTATCAGAGAATGTTAATTCTGTGTTGAACATATAATGCAATCATCTGCAATTAAAGATAAATTCAAGACGAACTGAAGTGACCAAGAGCAGTGTGATTTGGCCAGGCAACTGTGTGCTGAGCTACAAAACACTGTTTCAGAGCAGCATCTAGTGCATATTGAGTGACACACAACAAATGTATAACATTTCCAATAAGCATGTCTGCAAGATTCTGTTTTTGACTGATTGCATTTTTAAAGGCAGCATCTGTACTTCCTCAATACACTGCATGTACGAATAACAATACTATAACTTTTGTTGGGTAACTTGAAAACTTGAATCCAACAAAAATATCTACAGAAATGTAATTGTCTGCTATGGAATAGTTCTTATATTATTTGGTATTTTAAATTTGTTTTATTTATTAATAATTACAAAATAATAGTAATTATTATATAGTCATATTAAACGGGTTAAAAGAAGTGCTACATGTGTAAGTTTTAGGTGTATATAAGTGTGTTTTACCTGAGCAGCTCTTTCTCTTTGAGCTCCAGCTGCAGCATCACGGCGTTGAGCTCCATGTACAGATTGTTGGCTCTCTCCAGCTTTCTCTCGTAGTGTTCTCTGATGTCAAGAGCATGCCTGTTAAAATGAGTCAGACAGACGTCATGCTCAGTAACGGACACAAGGTCAAAATACAGTTATTGTGTAAATAACTACACAATGAGTCACCTCATCAAATATTCAGCCTATGTCATAATAGCATGTCTCAGTCAAAAAATGAGTTAGGTTACTGTGATTAATTGCGATACATTCATTTTCAACACTTTATTGTACATTGTCCCAATGTTCTTATGCGTAACTACATGCAATTAACCCTAAACCAAACCCTAATCCCAACCCTATAGCAAGTACATGTTGGTAATTAATAATACTCAGTACTTAAATGTACAAATGCTGTACACTAACAAGGACAACTTAAAACAAAGTGTTACGTGCATGCATCTGTTGCTGACCTGAGTTCCTCTCGTCGCCGGTTGATCAGCTCTTCATCCAGACGGTGAAGACACGTGCCCTCTGACTTGATCTTCTCAAAGTGTTGCTTGACCTCCTCACGCCACTCGGCCTGCACTCGCATACAGAGATCTCAGATCAGCATCAGTCATTATCTTTTGCTTTAACAACACTGTTTAAAGGGCTAATGATGTGGCACTCACTTTTGTCCTTTCTATGAATTTCTAAAAAAAATGTAACTCAGTGACTTGAATGTTAGCCTGATGTAAAATGTTTTATATTATTAAAGCATGAAGTCAAAAATGTTTTAAAGAATTTCTTTAAAAGAAAATTTGGCATAGATTTGTGTTATATGTATACAAATATTTTCACAAAATCCCATCACTTTTAAATATTTGAAAATTGTACTGAGCGTGCACTTGTAGTACTTCAAATTGTACAAGTACATTTAAAAGAAACTGTACTTGGAGTTAATACCATATTAATAAAATTAAAGGGCACTTTAAATAGAGACACTTTCATGACTATGTTTGTTAGCACACTTAAGTACACTTCTAAAAAGTGCACATTGCAATAATGTCAAAGTAAAATATTTTCATATTTTTTTCTAGATATCAAGTGGGTCAGCTAGCCACTAATGACTTTTCATTCAAATTGTATTGCAGCTATTTTGTTTTCTGGAAATCACAGCATTAAATGTATAGTTAAATTATCAGACACTGTCAGAGAATGTTAATTCTGTGTTGAATGTATAATGCAATCATGGTAAGACTTTAGAATAAGGAAGTAGGCCTATTCACTATTAATTAAGAGATTAATTAAGACTATTAATTATACTCACAATTAATTAAGAGTTTCCCCTTAGTAAACTCCTGCTGCTTATTAATAGTTAGTAAGGACGTTGTTCAGTTTAGAAATGTGGTAGGTTTAAGGGATCTAAAACATGGTCATGTAGAATAAGGCATATGTTAATATGCATGCTAATAAGCAGCTAGTGAGAATTGGTCCTTAAAACAAAGTGTTACCACAATAATCTACAATTAAAGATCAATTGAAGATGAACTGAAGTGACCAAGAGCAGTGTGATCTGACCAGGCAACTGTGTGCTGAGCTACAAAACACTGTTTCAGAGCAGCATCTGGTGGATTTAGTGACACACTCAAAATCTGCTTTACTTCTAGTTGCATTCGAAATCATTGTTTTAATAAATTTGGTCATTTTTAATTAAATCCACTTATTTGATGAGTTGACTTGCATACAAAAGCCAGTCAATATTGCATGTAATATAGTTAATATAGATTAAATTTGTCTTTAAACTTAAAAAAAATGTATGACCAATGTTTCAATAGAAATGACTTTATACCATAAATGCTTGTCAATACATTCAGCAGTAATTTTTAACCACATTTCAAAGAGAATGGAAGTTATATGAAATTAGTCAGAAGCACTCTGATGTTCAACTAAATGCATTTAAAATGAATTGAAACTACATTCAGTTCATACTTAAGTCTATTCTAGAATGTATATTTCTAGTATGTTGTTATGTATGCTCTTCTAGTATGTAGCATGACGAGACATGTTCAGTTCAGATCAGGGCTGGACTGGGGTTAAAATCCGGCCCACGAGTTCCCCGTGAATGCTTTGCTGGGTTACAGGGCCTTCAGTTGGAATAAATAAATGAATAAATAAAACAGGACAGAAATAAATAATGATAGATATTACTGAATTCATGGCAAATGCAACAACCTTTTTTGTCACAAAGAAAATTGACAGTAAATCACTGATTTTGAGCTAGAATGCAGTAAATTGACTGCTATTACATTCTGTCATCACTACAGAACCTTTAATGTTCTCATATCACACGACTCTGAGTGGATCAAGAGACTTGCACTGTTTGGTCCCGCTCTGCTTTTGCGCGCAGCTGGCAGATGCATCGGTAGCACCGCTTCACACTTTTGGAGCAGGCTATTTGCCTTTTGCAGTTTGGCATGTGCTGTAATTTAAAGACAGCTCCTAACATGGGGGAGGTCTCCTTTGCTTCGGGAATGTCTCAGTGCTCCCAATGGCCAGTACATGCCTGGTTCAGTGTCGTGACACTCCAAAAACTTAAATTATAGTAATAGTAATTCATGATTCTCCTAAAAAATACTTTTTACACTGAAAAATACTGATTAAAATAATTGCACTGTGTCAGGGAAACATACTATAACATTTTTCATAGTGGTTACACTACATTACATACATACACTACATACACTACACTTTCCTTAAAAATGGTGAAAGCATTTTTAAAGTGCATTTCTAGGAACCTCGCAGGTGTTTTGAACTAGATTCTCAACATACTTTGTCTTGTTCCATTTCTAGGCAAACAGAAGTCCATACTCTCTGTTTGGCGACTCATGACTGGTGTGGTTGTACAGAGGTGAACGAGCGTCTCACCTGAGATCTGAAGTAGGTCTCCTGCGGAGTGGAGAGCACGTCTGCAGACGCGATGTCCAGATGCAGCAGAATCTGCCTGAACGACGGCCTGCTCCTGGGTTTGCAGTTCCTACACACACATATTAGCATTACAAAAGTCACAGTCTCCGCTTGTTGCATCTTTTCCTTGACATTTTGCAGAGAGATAATCTATTTCCACATAACTCTTTCTTGTCTTCCTTTTTTTCCCTCTGAAAAAGTACACTTTAAGTACACATTGAATGAAATATTTTCGGACACTGAATTGCATGTAAATGTATTATAGTTTAAATTTATATTAAATGTAATTCGCTGAACTTAAGTAGGACTTCAGGACATTTTTATATATAATTTCATAATTACTTCTTTAGTCTTTGAAATATGGTTAAAGTGTACAGATGATAAACTAAAATATACTTTAATATCATTTCTGTTGAACTTTGCATTTAAATATATGGTAACACTTTACAATACGGTGGCACTAATATGCATTAATTCATGCTTAACTAATGCACAGATAATCACGAGTTAATATTTAACTCACGATGAACTCAATCATTTATTAATAATTACTACATCAGCAACTAATGAACATTCTGCATGATTAATAGATTAAGTAAGCTAATGATTAATTAAAGCAAACAACTGGAAGTTGAAGTACATAGCTTTGACCACTGCGGTAATTAACACATGAATTTACATCATTAGTTAATATAATATGTTATTAGGGAACTAATACATTATAACACATTTAACTTATAACTATTTATTTATTATTTAATCTATGAATCATATAGAATGTTCATTAGTTGCTGATGTAGTAAGCATTAATAAATGGTTTAGCTCTTCATGAGTTATACATTAACTCGTGATTTTCTGTGGATTAGTTAAGCATGAATTAATGCATATTTGTGCACCCGTATTGTAAAGTGTTTCTGTAATATTAAAGAACACACTGCAGTTACAATTATATTACATGTGCTTTAGTATGTTAGTCAGCACATCAAAATAAGTGTACTTTTCTAAAACATGACAAAAGAGTATTAAAACTTAATTATTTTAAATGCACTTTGATGTAAAACTTTTAATTTGACATTATTACAAACTGCATTTTTTTTAAGTCTATTTAGGTGTGTTAAGAAACATAGTCATAACAGTGCATCTCTCTGTAAGTTCACTCAAGTGGCTTTTTTCCATTAACATGTTATCTGCTGTACAGTTATAAAATCTACTACAATTGCACATTCAGCACACTTTCTTTCTGTCTTTCTTGGTTTCTCACCAGCACTGTCTGAGCAGGATTTTGAAGCCATCAGGGCAGCTTTCAGGAAGAGGAAGCTGCAGGCTGTTGTTTCCCACGCCCCATATGATAGCGGAGGAGTCCACGTCTTTATACGGGATCTCACCGGTCAGCATCTCCCACAGCACCACACCGAACGACCTGCGGACGCCACACATCACATCACCCACCGACAGCTGCACTCATCTCCTGGACTCCAGTGTGTGCTATGTAAGAACGCCTCCGTTTCTTGTAAATTAGGCTAATTGTAGACAGAACAATATTCAAAAGACTTGTTTCTTTTATGAGTAAGTCTTGAGCAATAAATCCAGCTGAAGAGAAACACGCCAACATTTGTGATTATATTAGACAATGTGGCGTTTCTCCACTGCCATACAGTGACAAGAGGATGACGTGCCTCACACAGGAGTTCTTCTGCTCATCCATTTACAGACCAGCAGAAGACTGGCAGGGAGGATAAGACATGCAGAAGTGATGTGAATGAGATCTTGCAGCAAACATTGTCCGAAAACGTAAAAAGTGCTCCTTTATAGGTCACTGTAAAAACTGATTGTAATTTTAATGGTAAAAGACTGTAAAAATGCTACTTTACAAGTGAGATCTTTATATCTTTACATCCCTACAAAAAGGTGCCTATTAGTACACTGGAGCAGGAAAATATCCCCTATGAACTTTTAATGAAATTGCATTGAATACTCCCAGACCCAGTGATTACGAATGATCATACCAGATGTCCACTTTTTCAGACACAGGCTCGTTCCGAATCACCTCGGGCGCCATCCAGGCCACAGTGCCTGCAAACGACATCTTGGTGCTCTTGTCTCTGAGCTCCTTAGACGTGCCGAAGTCTGAGATCTTCACCAGGTCGTCGTGTGTGATCAGCATACTGACAGAGAGAAGACACGGGTATAAGGCACACTTTCAGTTTGCTCATGCTTCCAAACACACTTGTGTGGATTGGTACAAAGCAGCATCATACTTGGGTGATTTGAGATCTCTGTGGATGATCTTGTGCAGGTGGAGGTAGTTCATGCCACCTGCGATGCCCATGGCCCAGTCCACCAGCAGGGATGGCATGATCTTCCTGCCGGCCCTCAGCACCTCGTAGAGCTGGCCTTGCGCGCAGTACTCCATGATGATGCAGTAACACGGAGCCTGCGTGCACACGCCCCTGAACACACAAGTTTACAGAGTGAAAGAGGTTAACACAAGCTGCTGTTTCTTTGCAGCCTGTCAAATTGAATTTGGATTATCAGAAGCAGAGTTGGAAATTGCTGGGGCAAAAATGCCACCATGATTAATAATAATGACACCAAATTATTTTTATATACCGTATTGGCCCGAATATAAGACGACCCTGATTATAAGACGACCCCCCTTTTTCCAGATGTACCTTTTGGAAAAAGGCTTTTTAAAAACCAAATCTTGTTTTTTCTCAGTAAAACACATTTTGTCTTCAATTATTTTCATATTGCATATTTTTCCTATTTTCATTTTTGTTTTGAAAGTATGGTAAAAACTGGTAAAATGTACCAACAATCACATTTAAAAAATATACACTTTTTGATATATAAAAAAACTAAAAAACAGGTAGCCCATCTGAATTAGGACATTTAGGCTATCCATCTAATAGTAGCCTGTCAAAATCTTATTAACAGTAGAAGTAGAGTTGGTCCCATCAGGCTAACGTGACAGTCACAACTCATGCAGCTGTAAGGTTTTCTTTCTCTTTTGTTTTTACTTGCAATCTTTACAACACGCATTACATTACGTATTTCATGGCACACTCGTTTTATGCGTATTTGGCGTCACCTATTGTTGTGGGTGTATTATTGACATGTCAAAGTCTAGACCCTGAATATAAGACGACTGCGTTTTTTCAGATGTATTTCCAAGAAAAAAACATCGTCTTATATTCGGGACAATACGGTATTATTATTATTATAACATATGATATAGTTAATCAATATCATATGAGCAAGAGTGCTGTTTTCCCAAATATCAGCACAATTGCAAATGTGATATCAATTCTATACAACAGTTCAATAAACAAGTTAATATTAAGTGACTTACATTTTTGGCACAATATTGTCCAATTTTCCTCAACAAACATAGTTCTAAACAAAGTCACAGATGAGCCGCTGCACGTCTCTAAGCAAAGCACAGCAAAGTTTCCTTGATATATATATTTTAAAAATTGGCATAAAAGATGACACATAAGGTTAAAAAATGCCCTTACAATGGAAATAAATAAATAAATACATACATAAATGCATGCATGCACCTGGAAATCAATTTAAGGTGGAAAATATCACCATGTAATGGCCGGAAAGTTCATTTCTGTTGTTGACCAGAAAGTGCTCCAAAAAAGAAAAGTAATAATTAAATAAAATAATTATTTGTTATTTTGGGCCAGGTGTGTCCAGTCCTGCTCCTTGAGGGTCAAGGTCAGTAATCACGGTCTTCAGGATCACTACACACTTCCAGGCAGGTGTGTGTGCTGGACCTGAACTATGCATGCAGGAGCTCGATTAGACACCCTACTTCTGTGTTATGTATCCAAATTGATTGGGAGACATGTTGCAACAAATGCCTGACGTAAAGATATGAGTTTCCTGGGTGCACTTGAAGGCAGAAATATTCCCTGCGTTCCATTCGGAAGGGCTCATCCCTATGCCCTAATCCCTTCAAAGGGTTTACCCTCCAGAGTGAGAGCTTTGAAGGGTTGAAGGGTGTAAGGGACCAAACAACTGTTTCTTGAAGTGCCCTTCTGACACGGAGGCGCCGTCATCATGGAAATAATCAGCGCAAAGGATCATGGGGGCCCGAAGTGTCCATCAGTTGTTCCCTTCGAAATCCTTCATTCCGAAGGGCCCTTTGAAGTGGCTAGTTTTGAGCACTTCGGTTTGGAACGACCCTTCAATATGACGGCCATGATTGTTTTCACTCCAAAGTGCCCTTCGGAGGGCGATATATCCAATTTGGAACGCACCGGTTTATTCTTTCATCTTTTGTTTAATGGTGATTTACATCCTGGTGCATATCGCCACCTACTGGACGGTTGTGCAAGCATTGTTTCATCTAAACCTGTTTTTCTCTTTCATCTTTCTTCATGCCATATTTCAGTGATGCATGACATATTACTGTGAATAATAATTATATAGTTTGTTTGATAAAGTCTGAACAAACTAAAAAACAGTCTGCGCTTGCAAAGGTAATACCTCTGTTTAAGGGTGTACGCACACTAGGCAATCTGAACCGTGCCTGAGCGCGGTTGACCCAAATTAATTGTTTTACAAATAATTGTATTAAAATAAGTATATTTAGGTTTATAACAGGTCTGGTTCTCACCTTATTGATGAACAGGAATTGTAAGTGTGAGTGCAGGCCAGCGGGGGGTAATCGCGCTTAGGCTCGGTTCAAGGCAGCTGTGCCTAGTGTGAGTACACCCTAAGGTTCATTTGTTGTGTTTAGCTACAGTGGGGCAAAAAAGTATTTAGTCAGCCACCAATTGTGCAAGTTCTCCCACTTAAAAAGATGATAGAGGCCTGTAATTTTCATCATAGGTATACCTCAACTATGAGAGACAAAATGAGAAGAAAAAGATCCAGAAAATCACATTGTAGGATTTTTAAAGAATTAATTGGTAAATTCCTCGGTAAAATAAGTATTTGGTCACCTACAAACAAGCAAGATTTCTGGCTCTCACAGACCTGTAACTTCTTCTTTAAGAGGCTCCTCTGTCCGCGTTACGGATGTGACGTTTGCAGTCACAATTTGCAATAAGATTGTATATTCATTATAAATATATTGAATCATCTGTTTATATTTTCCTAAACCCCTAACAATAGAGTGCAGACATCAGAAAAATATCAGTCTATAAATGTGTTTTATAGTTTAGATGAGGGAAATACACGTGTTACGGACATGAAAAAAAAAAAAATTTTTAGGAGACAACATATTTTGTAGACTTTCTGTGAATTACAACGCACAAACCAGAAGCAACAATATCTACCAAGTGGAGAAGGATTTGGCTCTTTACAGGACATAAAAGATACTTTTTTTAAATTTCGTTTTCGTATTTCGGAGTAAAAAACACTGTTACGGGTGTAACATTCTGGAAGCGGAATTTATCTGACTAGAAACGTGTATAAAAACAACTTCATCAGAGATCTCTAATGGATATTTAAACTTTAAAATTGTAAGGCAAATGGTTATGGATCATGTACTGTATAGCATGCATTGACCCCATCTCTCAGGCTGTTAAGTGTAACCAGTGTGAGACTTGCATTAAAAAAAACATCAGTTTACAGCAGAGACAGATGCAGTTGTAACCTAAACATTGTGTTTGACATCTTTAAATGACCTAATGGACTGATGACGCTCAAATTCGTTGCTGATCAAGATTATTTAAATGGTTGGCTGTCATGAACACTTGTTTTAATGACACAAACATACATTAAATAATTAAGTTACAAAACAGGTTAAATAAAAATATGCTGAATAAATAATATAGTGTAAATATTTATAAAAATGCTCCTCTCTAGAGATATTTATGGACACTGAATGGCTTGAGGTGGGCTAGGCTGTACAAGCTGTTTATGATTTCTCTCTGCAGCTAAAATACTGAGATGTGATACACTTCAGTAAGTTTTTCTGTTTCTTTCAACATACCTTCTGATGTTTATTTCATGCTATAACTAGTAGTAAAGAGAAAGAGATCAGTTAATTTGCACCGGGCTGCTGTTTGAACTTAGGCGCGACAATCTGTCATCAAACATTAAAGAACGTCAAAATTATAGTTTATTTAGCGATGTAGTTTGAAGTATAGTTTGAATTTCATGATAAACTGAGGCTTTGTTACTTTTATGGGTACTGGATGGAAGGTGGGCTTTAATTGAGTGAAGTTTATAATGCATCAGTTGAAAACAGCATGGACTCAAAAATTGACCTTTGCATTTAATGATCGATATCAGTTTGTTTAAAAAAAAATTTGAAATCAGGAAAACAATATTTTCAACTCAGCCCCTTTCTGAAGCGCTGCAGGCATATTCAAGCACTATATTTTCCTAATTTGTTTGTTAAATAAAAGTATTATAGGCTATACAGTATATTGTTAAATTGTAGCCTATAAAAATGTACTTTCAAGTGTCACCTTGTGTTTTTATTCACTTTCATGTAGACTATTTTGATCAAGAAACATGCAGAAACAGGAGCTGTTGTAAAGCATCATACCATTTTACTTTTATCTGTTTAACTTTACACTGTAGATCAAAATAAATGATTTGATTGGTAATATTATTTTTAAAATGAGAGAATCCACTGCTTATTTTGAGTATAGGCTAAACTGCAGATTCATGTTGCGTCTGCACAACAAAATGAACTAAACATTTTTAACTTGCAACTTGTGCGTGGCATGATTTACACACAGCGTATGTCTTCTCCATGTCGTGCTTACCAGGTTGCTCGTAAAAGCCGAAATGTGCCCAGATGTCGGCTTTTAAAGTAGTTGGAGCATTTTTACATTACATTTAGTCATTTAGCAGATGCTTTTATCCAAATCGACTTACAAATGAGGACAATAGAAGCAATCAAAATCAACAAAAGAGCAATGATATACAAGTGCTATAACAAGCCTCAGTTAGCTTAACGCAGTACACGTAGCAAGGTTTTTTTTTAATTATATAATAAATAAAAAGAAAACAGATAGAATAGAAAAAAATAGAGAAAGCTAGAGTTAGAGGCCTTTTTTGCTTTTGTTAATTGTACAATAAATAAAAAGAAAACAGATAGAATACCAAAAGATTAGAGAAGCTAATGTTAGTTTTTTTTTTTTAGAAAACAAACAGTAAATGAATAGAGTGCAAGTCTAAAAGGGACAAGATTTTATTTTTTTTAAGAATAGAATAAGAATAGAGAGTGCTAGAGTTAAAGGGTCAAATAAAGACATTTTTAATTACTCGTAGTCGCGTCTCCCCTCCCTCCGTCATTGTATGTTACCGCGACAAAGCACGTCAGAAAAGCATCAGTGCGTTATAATCGGTTATGGTCTATTACTGAACTGATACCGAATCGTCCTCGTCTGCATCACGATGCATCGTAGAAATTTCGACACCCCTATATAATAGATTAACTCTTGTTTAGAATGAATGGCACTGTGGCAATGTGTATTGTATTTATAATGTTTGTAAACATTTAATTTAAGATACTTTACATTGTTTCTGAATGTAATGATAACACCCATCATGTGACTTATACACTGATGCGACTTATCTGTGTTTATTTTGTCTCTCAACAATGCAATTTTGACCCAGTGTGACTTATACTCTGGAGTGACTTATTTTCTGGAAAACACACTATTTATAATCATACTTTAATATAATGGGGGTGATGCTGGTGTGCAGGTTTGCATTCACTCACTTGAAGGTAATGATGTTGGGGTGTTTGAGCTTGCGCAGATGTTTGATCTCAGTCTCCTTGATGTCTCGGACTTTCTTCACAGCCACCTCCTCACCATGAAACTTGCCCAGGAAAACAGCTCCCTGCGCCCCGCTGCCGACCCACTGCAGCTCGGAGATCTCCTCGAACGGCACCTCCCAGGAGTCTGGAAGAGACATTCCCAACATGGGCTCACTGGAAATACCTGTCTCATACACTTCTGCAAAACTGAAAAAACCTACCTATACATACGAATCGCTGCAGTTTCCATTTTATATAAACACCAGAGGCAGCAAAACGCTGACAACTTTTATTCCTTTGCACACAAAGTATGATTTACAGGTCCACTGTTTTGATTAATAAAGCCTAATTTTCACACAATTACTTGAGGAATATAATGTTATGAATTCAAAACAATTTTAACATGCTGTGACATTTGAAAACTGATCATTTTGAATGTTTGCGTCACATATCCAGCTTCATATGTATGGGTTTTTATATTTGCAGCGGCTACTTGCACTAAGTGAAAATAGCATATTTTCTTAGCGATAGATGCTATTTACACTAAATGCAAATAGCAATGGATTCTACTTACACTAAGTGAAAATAGCAGTATTTTCTGCTATTTATTGCAAATAGTGGCAATTATCTGCACTTCAGTATTGTAGTACATTATAAAACAGTATGCAATAATAATGTATTGAGTGTATTGGGACAATAAAGACCTCCCTACACCTATCCCTAACCCTACCTGATACTTTATTGTCAACTTTTTGATTATTTCCTTCACTTTTATTGAAAATAAATGCCTTTCTGATGTGATATGGGATTTGAAAAGGGAGAAAAAATTTCTGCAAAAGGCGGTCACAAACTCGGGTTGATAGCGTCAAAAAGCATGTGCTTTATCATCTTCGCCACTGAAACTGACGATTGATGAGCATCTTTTGTAGTGTTGACTCGCCCAATCACCCGCTGGTGGGCGGAGATAGTGTAAATAGCCTCTGCCAACAAGGCGGGCTGTTTGCACTTAGTGTAAATAGTCACTCCGTTTTATATTCAGTAGGTTTGTTCGGTAGCTCATGCAGTATGGTGTTCAACTTGAGAGGTGAAGAGCTCGGGTGCGAATCCAGTGAAACTACGGTTCCACAAAACAATTCAAATCTGCATATAAGGAGGTTCAAATGGCACGGTTGCATCAAAAAAATCTGGTTTTATAACAGTTTTGCATTTGTTAACACTATCGCTAGGTTTAGGCTTGGGTTTGTCATATGGGATATTTCCAACACGATAGAGCATTAACTTTTAGCGACACTCCCCAGATATCTGAATTCTGAACCGCCGCAATACGTACCTGAAGCAACGTAATAAAAACACAGCAATACGTGACTATACCAACATGACAAAAACATGACAGGGTCACGATTTAGCGTTTTAGCGCCACTCACTGGACGTTTCACTTTGAAACTGCCTCGAAATGTGCAGTAAGGTACGAAACAACGGTGATGCAGAAATGTATTTAGATGCACGCATTTCCAGTTATCCCCGTCCAAAACGACAATAAAACACCCCGACCGTTCTCGGACTGCCGTACTCACCCTCCTGGCTCTGCTTGTGCTCTGTCGAGTAGGCTTTCCCAATCATCGTCCACACTGGCTTGAGGCATCCAAACAAGCCTTCCAGAAAGCCTCCTCCACCCGCCTGCAGCCGGAAGCTGTCGGACTGGTTGCGCACGGCTCCGCCCTCGGCCCCGCCCTCCTGCAGCTTGAGCACGCTGTTGGAGAAGTTGGTGGGCTCGTCGCTCAGGGTGGGGCTGTTGCTGTGAGTGCCACTGCCGCCCCCCACCGGGTCGATGGAGAGCACGTTACGGAGCACACACTGGGTCGGGGTGAGTTCGGTGTCTGGCGTGCTTGCCGGCACCTCCGAATCGGGCCGACAGAAGTGGGGTTCGGAGAGCGGGGTGCTGAACCCTGAGAGGGACGGGGAAGGGGCATGTTGCTCATGGACACAAGCCATGGGGGCAGAAGGGGTGAGGGTAGCCCACTGCGTTACCCACCCTTAAGAAAAGTGGCCCTCACCACTCGATCTGTAGCAGCGCTGCTCGTCAACACACCTGGTGAGAGCAATCACAACACAAGCCGTAAGTGCTGAGAAAGAGCATGATTCTGCTTAATGCTTACTACGAATGGCAATCAAATACCAGATTGTATTGGAGATGTAGTGATTATGGTGGACTGATCACATGTGTGGATCAATACCAAAAATGCGAGGATGTGTTCAGGTATGTATGAACCACCTAAGCAGACTGTTTTCAGACAGTATTCTCAAACAAATTCAAGTTGGAAAGAGTAAAAACTAAATTTAAAGGGATAGTTCACCCAAAAATTAAAATGCAGTCATTAATTACTCACCCTCATATCGTTCCAAACCCGTAAGACCGCTGTTCATGTTTATAACAGAAATTAAGATTTTTTTTAATGAAATCCGAGAGCTCTTTGACCCTCCATAGAAAGCAATGTAACTTGTTTTCATTGCGAACAAAAAGTATTCTCGTAGCTTCGTAAAATTAAGGTTGAAACACTGATGTCACTTGGACTGTTTTAACGATGTCTGTACTACCTTTCTGGGCCTGGGAGCATTTCAGTTATGTAGCGAGGGTCTATGGGGGGTCAGAAGAAAGCTCTCTGATTTCATCAAAAATATCTTAATTTGTGTTCTGAAGATAAACAAAGGTCGTACGGGTTTGGAACGACATGTGGGTGAGCAATTAATGACAGAATTTTCATTTTTGGGTGAACTATCCCTTTAATCCAGTCCTTCCAACCGCTTCTTCCAACAACATTCTCTGCACCAACCAGCCAAAAATTAGTGTAATTTCAGTAGCCTGAATAACAGAAGTCTTTTTATTCTGCAACTGCAATTTCCAACTGAATTATACACTCTATTATCAGTCACCAACTTATATAATTCTGTAAAAAAGAACATACAAATCTGTTTTGCACATGGACAAAGTTTATCTGAGCAAGCTGATGCCCATATTTTGATACAATTCCAGCATGTCTGTGACTTCATAGATACAGGCTGATTGGCTGACTTGATCACCAACCATACTGCTATATTTGGGGTTCTCAACTCTGGCCCTCGAGGTCCACTGTCCAGCAAAGTTTTGCTCCAGCACTAATTAAACACACCTGAGCAAGCTCATCAAGGTCTTCGGGATCACTAGAAAGCTATATGCAGCTGCATTTGATTAGGGTTGGAGCTAAACTCTGCAGGATTTTAGAAGCCTTGAGCTATAGAGTACTACAGTACATTTGTCCAATTCTGGAAGTATTTCAACAAACTTTGATTCGAAGCAAAAAAAGTATTTGAACATCGGACGAAGATGTTCCCCATGAAGCATTGTGAATGGCATACATCATTTGCAGTGCTTCATAAAGAGCTCTTCTGATGCGATTTGCTTGCTTTAATTGGTGGAGAGCTCTCTGCAGAATCATGGGTAATGTAGTTTTTCACCAGGAAATCTGCTGTAAAACACAAGCTTAAATAACTTGTTTAACTAAAAGTTATGACAAGTTTAAATAATGTAGGCAAATGGCTTCAACAAAATGCAAATATCATCGATTAACAACTTCATGACTCACAGTAGCTCTGTCATTATGGATAATTTATCATTAAAAAATAAATTCCCTAATGAGGAAAATGAATGGGATTTTAACTTCTGGAATGAGATTTTTATTTCTTTGATTCATAACATTTTCAGAAGAATCATTATCACTTCAGCAACATGGCCAAAATTATTCTTTGTCAAACAAAGCACTACTTTACAGACTACCCATGTGTGAAATACCTTTTTGTGCTCAAAATCTCCCATTGCACACAAAGAATTGATGTAGAAAAGACGAGAAGTAAACAGATAACTTATGGCCTTAACTATTATTTGACTTTAAGAACACACTATTTGACTCAGACTATTGCCTTCTTCGTAATGCACCATTGAATTGTTGTGTTTTCACACTGGCCTCTACACAGAAAAGCAAGTTATTTCTGGCATACAACAGCAAATATAATCTTTAATAACAAACATGTACATGATAAGGATGACCACATTTACATCACAAGAGTAAAGAATCTAGACCCTAACTCATAGTTTTGGCTGCTTCAGTAGTTTACGATCTTATTTTTGATTTGTTTCCATTTGTTTAGTTCATTATCTCCTGATGATTTCATTTTCTAGAGGCACAAACTCTCTGTTCACTGCTGCTTCTGAAGCTCCTCTGCTCACGCTGCCAGTGTGAAGACTGTAAATATGCAGGACAATCGTGTCTCATATTGTGAGCATTTGGTGAAGGGAGAAATAAAAGACAACGTCATTTCCTCTTGATTTTAACAAGGAATGATATCATGACAGCGCAGAGCTGTGTCTGTTCATCAGTCCATTAGCTGTTCTTACAATAGCAATCTCTTATTATTTGCTGGTAACTTAACTGCGGTTGAATTTGGCACATTGAAACATAATAACTACTGTAGCGTCTGGACCACTCCAACACACAATATATATTTTGTTAGCTAGATTTCACAAATACTTTGTAACACCCCAGGACGCCGAACAAGACCCTGGTTTCATGGTAACCCGATACATTTACAACCTTGTGGAATGCGAGCCAGCTCTCATTCTGCTTTCTCCAGAAACAAGGGGTAAAAATGCACAGGAGAAATGGACTGTTCTACTAATTAATTCATAGGAAAACCTTCTTTGAATGAACACCCATTTTCTTCAGGCCAGTGTGTATATTATTGCTGTGTTGTATTTAATCTGTTGTATTATAGACTATTTTTATCCGTGCTGATAAAAAACAGCAAAATATATCACAACAAAACAACTTGAATTATTTTACTTAGGCTAGATTTTTATGCAAACACAAACTCTCCAATATTGAGCTTTAAAGATGAATCGAGAGGACTCCTCCTCCTGGGTCACATGATCATAAATGGTAAAATGACGTCCTTGTAGTGAGCATAATATTTGAACTATGTGAAGAGGGTAACTTGCTCGCTTTCATTTGGAATGACCCTCGGGGCCAGATTTACTATTAGCTTGCGTCAGCGCAAACCCTCAGTTGGCATTAAAAACTACTGTCAGGATTTACTAGATATTTACTAGTTATATTCTGAAAAATATGGTATGTTTATATTTAACTTTCTAAAATTTAGGCTTTTCGTTAGTCTAGATTTTGTGAAATCTGGATCACAAGGCATTGAGCCAGATTTACTAGCAGACAGTGTTGCCAAGTCCGCGGTTTTCCAGCAGAATTGGGCTACTTTATCACTGTTGCCACGGGTTGTTTTTCATGTCCCCAGGTGAAATTCAAATTTTTTAAGTGACCCCAATAATGTGATATTTAACCCCTAAAATGTGAATTTCACCTTGGGAACCCTTCCAAAAAACGTGTATTTTAACCTCCAGAACGCAATTTTTACTGGGGGACCGCCCTCGAAACGCGATTGGGCTAGTTTTGAGTAGTGATTGGGCAGGTTTTGTTTTGAAAACCCAGCATAAAACCCCTCATTTGGCGTTAAAAAACATCTCAGGTTACTTATGTAACCATGGTTCCCTGAGTAGGGAACGAGACACTGCGTCCTCTAGGGGTCGCTATGGGGAATGCCTCGTCGTTACCCGTGTCTGAAGCATACATTGAAAAAACACCAACTCGTTGGCTGGCGACAGCCATGACGTCACTACCGGTGCGACTACAGTATAAATCGGCGCCGGGAGATACACATCATTCACTTCTTCGTCTGAAGCTTGCGTCCGCAGCATGGCAAGAAACCTAGAGGACGCAGTGTCTCATTCCCTACTCAGGGAACCATGGTTACATAAGTAACCTGAGACGTTCCGGGAACTTCAAACTGAAAGAGCAGTCCATAGATAAAAATAGCGTATCCCCACACACTATATCTACGGCTATAATGCTGGAGTGGCTAGTAGTAAATCTGTAGCTGGGGGAGCATCATCCAGCTCTCAATGGAGAGGGAGCTCAACCTAAAGCATGTTCCCATGATGGAACAGCTAGCAATTATTCAACTGAGGGAGCAACACACCCAGTTCTCAATCCGAGAAGGGGGCTCGACCTGCAGCATATTCCAAAGCTGGAACATCTAGCCAAACACGCATCAGGGAGGCAGAGGAAAGGCCTAATTCACCTGATGCTGCTGGATCCAGGCGCTCTGGAGAAACAGAGAACTCAAAGTTCTCAAGTGAGAGGGGAACTCTGAATTCAGAGGAATAACGTTGCTCATTCCAGGTAACCCTTTGATAAAAAGGGGAGCATTGCTCAATACTACCACGAGGACAGCCCATGGAGCGAGGAATCCAACTCCTCAGAGAGGATTAACGCTCGAAAGAAACATCATACTCACAATAACCCTCAATGGTGAGGGCGGGATGCCTCAAGAGGATATCCTGGTGATCGGGAAAAACCCCTCAGGGTGACCCAGATACGGTAGACCAGTCAGGGTAGCATGAAAGCGTAACCCCAGCCCGGATGTCCAGGAAATTTGGAAATGGAAAAAACTCGCAATGCACGCAGATTGCCCCCTCGAGGACATCGCGTGCGTGCTCTTCGCCCAAACAAACAACACATAGATCGTGTGTGTCATCTGTTGTCAAATAGCGATGACACGGATGCACACACCTTCTAAATGCTCTGCTAGTGCTCGCCATAAAAATAGAGATAGCTCTTACTTTTTCCTTGGAAATGCATGCTTCAAACAGAACAGTCAATGAAGACGAAGAAGAGAATGATGTGTAGCTCCCGGCGCCAATTTATACTATAGTCGCACCGGTAGTGACGTCATGGCTGTCGCCGGCCAACGAGTTGGTGTTTTTTCAATGTATGGTTCAGACACGGGTCACGACAAGGCGTTCCCCATAGCGACCTCTAGAGGACGCAGTTCGAAGTTCCCATGAAAGGGAACTACTGTCAGGATTTACTAAAGACACGCAGTGGGAAATTAGTGCTGAAAAGGCGTGGAGAGTTATTTTTGCAGTTCACCTTATTGAATATGCATTTGTAGGAGTTTGCCTTTCGATCTGTAAATTTATGAGGAAAG